GTATGACTTCTGTGGTATGAGGAGACTTGAGTCAACTTCCTTGAATAGTAATCATTAAGAGAAAAAAACCCAAACTATAGCCAGGATTTCATTCATTCAGAGTTGTGATCTACTGGAACTGTAAGGCTAAAACCCTGATGATTTTAAAAGGATAGAATGACAACAAGGACTTCTCCTGAAAGATCTTTGATTCTGGAGCTGACCTTGCCTCTCTATCAGTCCTCCCCACAGCACAGACTATCTTATCTTCAAAAACATCTTCAAACACTTCTCCTTCCAGCCTTTTGGCAGCAGTAATTAACCAGATTTTTAAGATTTTTCTCTGGTGGTGCTATGGATCATATTACTAAGTGGAATGTCCTTATTAATGATAGTTTACTATACCTATGTGTGCAGATGGACACATTTTAAGTGCAAACAAATACTTGCAAATTGTGAATATAACCTGCATACAGATTCTCTTCTTTGTTCTACATTTATATTTACATATTCCACTCCATCAAAATATTAGTCGGAAAGATTGTAGAGGAACTTACTTAAGATCAGCATAGTGCCCTGCAGCTTTCCTCTTCAGAATCCTTTATCTTGGTTTTAATATTGCTTTCACTATTTTTAGAAAAATGGTGAAGTGTCTTGTCTTCCCCCCACTTTAGAAACCCCTGCTTTTCTCTCTTTTCCTTTATTGTGAGAAACCATAAAGCTGCAAGGGACCTGCAAGTTTCTTCAACTGATTGTGAAGAAACTCAAGCACTGGGTCCTTAAATGTACTTTTTCAGAAATCACTTTTTTAACTGCTCTGCTTGCTATGATGATAATAGAAACTATTTCTAGAGTTTGAATCTGGACTAGGCTTCTGTGGTTTGGCCTGACTGGGTTGTCCTTTTCAGTTCTCATTTTGCATAGATTGTGAATTTGTTATTCATCCTGTTCGTAAGTGGTGAAAAGGCAAGATGAACAGCTTCTAAACAGCACTTGCTTCATCTGCTGGGTCTTTACTCTGTGAGGAATGCAAACAAAGACTAGGGTTGAGATAAAACTGATAGTTAGAGGAATGCCAAAGAAGAATTCATTGATGCAACAATGGACAGGCCTTCTGTAGACTGGACTCTGTTTCTTGAAGAGTCCTTAGCTGTATGAACATTGGGGTCAGCAAGCTTGTTCAGGAAATCAGTTTGCAGCAAGTGAAGTTGGAATTATGGTGCAATGGAAACCCTCCTGTAACTACTTATTTGATATTTTAAAAATAAGAGATGGTCTCCTTTGTTCTTATTGTGGAAGGAAACCCTCAGTACATGCTAAGAAGGCCTGCACACAGAGCTCGTGTGGAAGTCCAGCTTCCTGCTGTGTAAAGAAGACTTGCATCTTCAGCCTCCTCCGCAAACCCTTCCCCTAGAAGAGAAGGTCTTTAAGGAACCCCATGTGGGTCACTTTGCAAAGTTTCTTGTAAACTCTCTCCATCTTTTATAGGGGTTATTGAGACTATTACATAGCATTTCTATAATCTTAAACAAGCTGGATAAAATGCCTAATTCTCTACTGGCTTGAATCCTGCACAGTCATTGACACCTCCACAAAGAGAGTGCCACTTAAGAATTCTCCACTTTCCTTGAACAGTGATAGGGTTTTGCAATCACTTGTACTCTGCACAAGAATAAATGAGTGAACACTGTCGAAAGCAGGAGAAAGCCCCTCTTAATTTTTTCTTGGTGCTGCATGAGAGATATAGTGGACCAAAACCTAGGCTTAATTTCTTCTCTAGAAAATTGGGATAACTATGCTTGTATAATCGCAATTTCCATGCAAGTTAGGATTTGAGTCTACTCTTCTTACAAATGACCATCCTAAGCAGTATATGAACAGTGCAGCTAAGCAGAATCACTTGTAATGATGATTTAAATTACTTAAAATTTGATTCCCTCATTACAGCAGTTAAACATATAGTCAATCCAGTCTGCTACAGAGTAACTTTCATGCCCATTTTGTTTCACTTTTGATATTTCATTTTTCTTCATTTAAAGTAACTGATATTTATTTGGCTACAGCAAACTAGGATCAGGACCTACATATCCAAGAAGTGAATATTTCCATCTTGGAAAAGCCAGTTATAGGTTATTTCTATGATTTCTTCCTACTAGAAACTGTACTCAATAATGCAATCAGTTGTAGTCCTATTAAAGATATGACAATAAAAATTAACAGGGTTGGGCCTGTTGTTCACCAGGAGCAACAAATCTTGCATTTTGCTTCTGATATCATTTGGAGGTACAATACTTTAATTTCCTTTCATGAGGTTATGGAACAGGCTAGGGAAGCACCAACTCTTACAATTTTGACTGCTGATTAGGGTGGGAAGGTAATGGGAGCTTTAGCTGAACTTTTCTCTCTTGGGCTGCTACTAGCTTTTTAAAACCAGGATAGTAGCAACATCTGCAAAAGGTCTAAACACTGATTTAGCATGTAGGTGACTGCTGCAGAGGATGCTCACAAACAAGAAAGTATGTATATGCAGACAGACAGGAATTTAGCCATACAGAGAGTGAACTGGTGCTTCTGTGGTTCGACAGGATGGTGCAGAACAGAAGTTTTACAGCTCCACACAACCTGTGCATACACACATAGCTTTTACATAAAGACACAAAGATATCTTTATCTGCACGACAGATAGACAAACAGACTGACTGACTTCAAACTTGCACTTTCAGTAGGGATTTTTTTCCCCCCATCTCCGGGTACTGCTTTTCAAAATTGCCTGAGGCTACAGTACAGCACCTCAGATCCCCAAGGCCCATTGCCTGGCTCCTAATAGCCACTCTCCATCTGTGTCACATGAACAGCTGATGAGATAGCTCCAGTGTCTGTATTTTGGAGAGCATATCCACCCAGGTTAAAATGCTGGGGTTGCCAAGGAGCAGTCAGAAGCCATTAGTGTTTGTGAGAATTTGCCTTGCAGCAGTTCCTTGGCATAGTGGAAAGTGTGTGTGTGTGTGTCTGTGTGTGTGCGCGCACATGCGCTTGTGTGTGAGAGAGAGAGCGAGAGAGAGAGAGGGGTAGGGTGGAATATATTGGGGTGGAAGAGAACAGTGGGAAAGGGCGCTTTCTAAATAACCAATATCTTGAAAAAGTGAACAGCTGGTTACAGCATTTAGAGCTTCCATAATCTCTTCTATTAGTTTGCTGTGATTCAACTCTCCTTTTTCAATCTTTAACAGAAACAATCGAAAAAAACACCCCTCACACCTCTCAAAACAAAACAAAACAACAAAAAAGGAGCATGAGAAAGAGAGCAGTGACTTCAGGGTCGTGCTCTGGTGTTTGGGCAGATGGAAAGGAGCTGCTCTGCCTTGGGGCAGGGTGGTTGTAATGAAGTGGCCTGTCAGTCTGTAAATAGCGAGGGTCATCTCTTCCGTGTGATGGAGGGTATCGCATTGCAGTGAAAATGGAAATGTCAATAAAATTAATCTGCCAGCTCTCTGCTGTGGCTTTTTCTGTCTCTTTGGTCCAAAAGGGTTGGTTTTTCAGAGGTGAGGCAGCACAAGAAGGGTGATCTGGCATGGGAGGGAAGATGGAACTGAAATGCAAGTTTTGAAACAAATGGACTGTATGTAGCAGCAATGTATTTCATTTAGTAGCACTACAGGGCTAGGCGAGGCTATAGGAATTAGTTGGTGAATCTATAGCATTCCTCAGGAAGCTATGGAGCGTCTAGCTCAGGCTACATTGAGCACTGAGTTTATTGTTTTAGGCTTTCTTGGACAAGGTTTTTACTTAGCATGGGATTTATGGCATTTACTGCTAATGAATGTCTATTCTTAAATTACAAAAACCACCGTCTCAGCACAATTCCCAGATGTCCTTCCAGGACCTCGGCTTCTTAAACACCAGCAGGGAGCATAAACTCTCCACTTCTCTGTTTTCCTCTTTCGTGTGGCTCCGGGCTAATGATGTGTAAGGAAAACACAGCAATCTATAAAGTCTCAGTGCTGTCCCAGTATTCTTCATTTATTTTGCATTTGATTATGCCACAAGTCGGATCTTGTTTCTTTCCTTTTTTAAAGTTATTAGTTCAAATATTAATGTAGGAATATGGCATATATTGCTGGTCTTGATTGATGCCTTCCCAAAAACAGGAAGACGTGCTCGTATGAATTTTAAGAAAGTAGGGGTCCTGCAATGCCTTGCCAGAAGAGTTTTTCAGATACATAATTTAGATGCCCTCCAGGCAGGCTTTCAAGGCGTTTTTGCTGGAGGGCAAGAAAAAATAACTATGACTGTTAAAAGTAAATCATTTTTGCTAATGCACAATTAATGCCAGGGAAAAGCACAGAAGAGAAAGATGTTGATGGAAAGTTCTGATTAAGTGAGAGCTCTACCTTGATGTGCATCTTTTTTTTTTTTTAATGGTAATAATCACTGATGCAGAGATGTAGAAGTTTTCATGTCATGCAAATGCTATATGCAGGGTCATACCAGGTGTACGTGTTTGTGAGGGCATATGTATGTGTGTTGAGAGTTGATGGTTACGGGGAGTGGCTCATCTGACAGTGTGTTATGTGCACTGAACAGTGACATGGTTACTGCTACCTCTGCAGAGGGCCTCAAATATATAGACTACAGAACATTTAACTTGATTACTTATACGTACGTATTCAGAATGGTTGTAGAGATGCATTTACAGTAAATGTGTTTTCTTGTGGCAGGTTTTCCCACATTGAATCCCATAATTGACAAAGAGCTATTGCACAATGTCAAACACACAATTATAATTGAATTAATGATATATACATGTGTGAAACACAAAATTAGTAATTGGAGAGACACGGTTTCTAATTTTTACATATTTGTATCAGCATTCTTATATAATGAGAAATGGTATGTGCCTTATCTAGCAAGTAAAAAAATCCACTAAAACTGTGTAGTGTCGTGGTAATTAATGATACTTTTTGGCTTCTATATTTTGTTCATTAAAGGTCTTCTCTTTCCTGTTTTTCTCTTTGTTGTAGGAGATGGTTTAGACAACAGCGTAGCCTCACCTGGTACAGGAGATGACGATGACCCAGACAAGGACAAAAAGCGTCAGAAGAAAAGAGGCATTTTCCCCAAAGTAGCAACAAATATCATGAGAGCGTGGCTTTTCCAGCATCTCACAGTAAGTGGTGCCCAAAACCAAAATAGATATCTATTCATGTGCCTAATGAGGTTTATTCATCATTACTAGAAATCAATTGTCCTCATAATTTTTGGACCATTATTAGGGCCCTGTTTTGTTGCTTATTTTTCTTCTTGAATTTTTTTTCTTGGCTCTTGGAATCATGACAAATCTCAAAGAAACATATATATGTATATGTATATATATACAGACATGAATGCCTATAGAGAGAAAAAGAGAGAGAGTACAACACCTTAGCATGGAACATCACCTATATATTAAAGTAACCATTTTTGGCTTTGAATTATTCAAGATCATCCTAAGGACAACAAAAAGGGGGTTCTTCCTTTAGTATATATAAAGCTCTGCCTTCTGGATTCTTTATTACTGGCCTCTGTTTACACAAACTTCATGTGTATGTGGTGAAAGAGTCCTGGTCTGTGTGTGCTGACAGACACTGTGGATGTTAAGTCAAAGCAGCAGCTTGCAAATTTGTCATTGTTACTTTTGTGCGAAATATAGAAGGTTTACAGATTCTCTAATTTTTCACTTATGTAACAGGAAGGATAAGCACCTTTTTAGCTCCTCTTCAAGTCCATTGATGTTAAAAACTAGCTATATTCACATTTTGGGGAAAGAGATTAAATATGTGAAATAGCAATTCTTTCCATGGGCTGTCTTTATCCACCTGCTTGCATTTGGTTTTGTGTTGGTGTTATGTTGACTATTGTAGCTCCACTCAGGCATCAAAACACAGTTCCACAGAAAACCTAGTAATACTCTTTGAAGCTTAGTTTGTATGGGAAATAATGGAAACTGGTAAAATTTTCAATTGTTTTCTTGTTCCTCTCACTTTAAAATTCTTTCTCATTTGATAAGGCTTAAAACACTAACTGTCATTAACTACCTCTTCTTCTACCAAAGTTGTATAAATGTTCACGGTAGCTGATGTTAGTTTCAGTGTAATGATTTCAGGACAAGGTACCCGATTTATTTATGATAGGGACTATTGAACTGCTCTGCTAGCAGCACAGCTAAAGGGGGGAGCAATAGATCCACATTTCTAAACCATGATTTTGATGTAAGGACATTAGTAGCAAACTAAGGTGCATTGATCTGGCCTGTGGGGTCAGGATTAGCAGGAATAGCCAGTGTCTCTGCTGGAGTAGTGGTTATTCCTGCCTCCCAGCTATGGCCATTTCAAAGGTCAGGTGCCCTGTACCCACTTGGCTCAGAGGAATTAGACAGAACATGAGTCTCTGGGCTGATTACTTAACCAAAGACAAAATAATGAGTCCTAAGCAAATACTGACTAATTGAAAGGGCTGTAAATCCATTACATATTGGTCAGGGATAATCAGGAGTATTTAATCACTTTTATCTATTCAGGAGCACTGAAGCTGCAACAGCAAAGCCCTGAACCTTGCCATGTGCTTATTATTCTCATCATTATCAAAATTACTTCACAGCTGTTCTTTGCTACATCACCTCAGCTGGAGATTTACTAACCTGTAAAATGTTTTTAATTTGGAAGTCGAGTGAGTGTGAGTGAAGGGTTTTTAATTTAGCTGTAGGGTATCTTTAGAGGAGTAGTACAGGCAGACAGCAAAAAGCAGGGCCACAAATAAACAAGTTTGGTTTGTAGACACCTCTGTGTAACTCCATTTCCTCTTATGAAATTTGTGGTGTCTTGTTTTTTCTCCGTACCCTCCTTTCTTATTTTCCCCTTGAAAACATTCAACACTTGCTTATTAAACAGTCAACTGCCTCTCACTTCTCTTGTGGAAAGTCCTCCTGGCTTTTTGAAACCCCTTTTCCTTGTTTCTATCCTCTCTCCCCTGACCCTCTCCATCCTGCATGAATTAAGAAAATCTGCCATCACTGGTGAGGATGGGCTCACAAAAATCAGATTAAATGAACACAGAAAAGCCCCAAACCTTTTACCATCCAAGCTTTAATGAGTTTGCAGGTGTTGAAAGATTTATTGTGCTGTAATTCTCAGACCTGCAAACTGATAATGGAGGCCCCTGACCAGTGCAATGTAAATTCAGAAAGATTCTTGCCATAAACACATGCAGGGAAGGAAAGAACTCCTTTCTTTTAAAGATTTCACACTTTTTCTCAAATTAGCTTGTCCATTCAAAGTGCAACTCTGGCTGAGCCAGAACAGGGGAATCTGCGATGTACAATTTTATTGTTTCAAGTAAATATCTTTACAATGGCAGTCCAGGATTCAATGTACATTCCTTCATTACTACTCTAACCTTATTTCAAATTGGCTTGTTCCTCTTTTGTGCTGTATGACCTGTTCTTGTATTACAATAATCCCCTGATGTACCCTTTTTTCTTTCTCTCTCTCTCTTTTTTTTTTAAGAAACTAATTGAATTATCTCATTATTTTAATTTGTTAAGCAAATGTATTTTACATCTCAGGATGTGTTCTTAAAGAAGGAGCTGCTTGGGCTTTGCCCCCTGAATGGGCCATTGGTACATTTTGACATTCATGCATTCATTAAGGAGAGGAACATAAAAGAGCTCTGGTTGTATTTTTTTTTTCAAACACCCAACCAGCATGGAGCAACTTTTCCATAAGCCACAGGGGTTTCTCTACATATGTTCTCAACTGCAAGCCATTGTCACCTATTCTGAATACCTCAAAAGGACAAATAAATACTAAAGGCCAACTGTAGCAATTGTTAGCTGTTAGTCTCAATATGACATAAATCATTACCCTCTGGTTTCCCTGGAAGGAGAGGCAGTGGCAGCCCATGTCTTACGGCATGGATTAAACCTGAAATTCCTTTAGACTGTCAAATTCCGAGATAGTAACTGAGTTCTGACTAATTGTATTTACTTATGATTGTCAATAAAATGCTATTTTTTTCCTTTATTCAATCAGTTTTCAAACTCCTAAGGCAGCTGATTTTAACACTGAATGGCCTAGGTGGCTTTTTTGAGGAGAGAGGTGCTTGAACTCTGATGCAGAATGAATGTGTCTGACAGGCTGTGTCTTTCAAAATGATTTCTAACCCCTATCACAGCTTCCATTCTGCAGTAACTTTAATTATATTTGAAATAGGATACACATGCATGTTTTTATTGATGGAAATCAAATACAAGGAGTAGGAGCTTCTGTCATGTTCTCATTCACTTACTGAGCTGTGTCTTACATTTGGAATTACAGCAGTACCGGAAGATGAAAGATCTGAGGATGAATTGGTTGGAAATGTGTATGCTTTTTCTGGATAATATCCAGTGTTTAAGAAAGTAGAGGAAATCCTACTCTGGTAGTATAAGCTATTCAATAGTACATAAAGATTACAACATCAGAAAGGTAAACCTGACATTAAGGCGGTTTTTAGTTGAGTTCAAAGGTGGTTAAAGAAAAGAAACAGCAAGAAATCTGACCCAAGCCAAGAGTTTATTCATAGCTTTGGAATACTAGTTTTTCTCTATGCCAAGGAGTGCTTAGTACACTCAATTAGCCTCTCCAGACATCTCTGCTTTCCTCCCTCAAGTGCTCCCCTATTTGCCCTGCAAAGAACATATTTGATCATGAAGTGAAAACAGGAAGTGCTCGAATGTATAGACACCTCCAGCTAACACCAATGTTGAGATTAGGATTTCTTACCAGCAACTGTAGAGGGATGGCCCCCCTCCTCCCATGCCCTTTTGAAGAATGGAGAATCTTTAAAATGTGCGTACATAATCAGAAGAAAGGAAAGTTTTAAAGGAAGTAATTATACTGTTCTATAGTCTTGTACCTCAGGTAGTTCATCCATTTCTGCAGCATAGTGTGCTAAGGACTACATTTTTGCTACATTAAACATTTTTTCACCTTTTACAGAACTGGTAGAACAGCGATACATTTATTCTTTGACACTTACCTGGAGTGATGCCCTTTGTTAAAATTCTATTTTGGTTGTTTCTTTTGTTACATTCTGTAAGAAGATATGTATCTTAACTAAAAGTGCTGGATTTAACAATGATAACCTGCAAACTAAACCATTTTTATGACAGTGCCAGATTCCTAGCTGATGGTATTTGGGATGTCTCCCCTGAAGACAGCAGAGTCGAGCTGGTTGTGTTTTTTTCTTTTTTTTTTGCTACTGATGTTCTGTCTTCTAACATTGAGCAGTGTCATTTTAGCCTGATTTCCAGAATCTTCTGGCTGAAAATCTTTCTCTTTACACAGTCTATTGCAGAATAGATTTTGGTTTCATCTGCTTCATTGACAGGCTAGAGTAAGTTCTTCTGGAAGGTGTTAAAATGAACAAGCCACAGTTTTTGTGCTTACCTGAATTAATTTTCTTAACATCCCATATTTGGGTGTTCAGGATGAATAATATAAATAGTCTTACTGAAACAAAATTTTTACTCCTGTATTTATGTGGATGTACTAGAGAATATAATGTGTATCCATCATATTTTGATGGATGCCTTTTATACAGGGCAGCTATTTTATTTATTCATTAGATTTGATTCTAGAGATGAATGTTGCCAACGAAAGCCAGTCTTGGAGCAAGTGTTCAAAGAAGCTGAATCCATCCCACCTTCATAAATATCTCCTCCCATATTATGATTTGAGAAATAATACCCTAAAGGAAGGCTAGGAGCATAGCTGGCTATTGCACTCCAGACTGAGCAGCTTACTTTCATAGTGAACTGTAGAAGAGCAATTTTTGTCAGAGATGTTATCTGGGAGAAGCATTCTTCACTTAGCTGTTTTTGCTGTACTTTTAAAAAGCAAAACTAAACCCTAAAATACAAGACACCTCTGTCCAGTTAACATTATGAGAAGAAGGCTGTGAGACTTCAGAAAGCACAGGAATGTGAAGTCATTCTGGTGTGCATATGTTGGACTGCATTGTCCCTCCGAGGGTACACAGAGGAGGCAGATGATGTCCTCTGATTCTCCTGAAAAACTACTTGCATGTGGATTCGCATGGCTGTCATTTAAACCTCAGTGCACCACATCGTCGGAGAGCTGGAGGCATTTA